GGGGGGGGGGGGGGGGTGTCCTTCAAAGGCTGTAGGATTCCTGACAGTGTTTAACCTCATTTGACTAGTTGTTGCTTTTGACTTAGTACTTGCAGCTGCACAACATATCTGTTGGAAACCATGCTTATGAGAAGAAAGGAGCAGAACACACTGCTATGGCTATATGTCAACAATTCTACAAACGAGGAAGCATCTGCCCTGGAAATGATACCTTTGACATTGACCCAGAAATTGAAACTGGTGAAATTGCTGCTTAATATCTTATTTAAACTCTTAGATTTTAAATTAGTTATCTGTGTTTGTTTATTTGTTCTCTGGCTGTTGAATACTGAAATGGATTTCTAAAGCATATCAAATTTCCCATGGGTGAATCTCTAGGATTTTGAAAAAGGGGTTGCAGATGACATGGTACATCATCACCAATGCAACACATTTTCCTCCAGTTGAGAAATTAGAAGCTTTACTAACATGCTATGGGGCTAGTGCTATATTATTCACCTTAAGATAAAATCAAAAACAAATATAACTATTAGAATGAACACTATTTTGCTAAAATTCATATAAAGTTTAAAAAAAACAAACAAGCAAACAATAGAATCATAGAAAATTAGGGTATCTTTTCAATTTAAGGATATTAAATAAAGCTTTCTAATGCTCCATTGAGTCTTGTGCTGCTCAATAGACTTATAGTTAAGTGTAGTGTACTGGAAAGCAAGAGTATGTAGGTAAGGCTTTTACAATGCAATGTTTTCCAGCTGAAACACTTCCGAATAACCTTTTTCCCCTCATCTCACTTTTTGGCAGTTGTGGGTAAGTGGGCAGATCTTACCAAAATTCAAAGTTTAAAATTAAAGTGGACATTGTTATTGGTGGTGCTGCCTAATTTGAAAACACAGGGAGATTAGTGGTTAGAGTGTTAGTATAGGACTTAAGTTGTTGCTTCAGTTTGTTGCTCTGTCACAAGCTGTGAGAGAAGGAAGAAGGAAGTTCCTTACTCCCAGGAGGCTTTTAAAGATCTTTGCTTAGACCTCTCTATTAGTTTGGGAGGCCTGTGACCATTTGTAACAGGCTAATAGAAGAATCTTGGGTAAGGAAGAAGGAAAAATGATATAAGCCAAAAGTGTTTTGGAAAAAGAAATATACTGCCAGATTTGCAGGACCTGAAGACAAGGGGTTGACGCACACAAATGAAAAGGAAATAGACCTTGCAGACAGATGATGTTTCTTGGTAAACCTAGTATAAAGTGAAACTTACAGTCTTCTGATTGGGGAGAATCGTTTTGCTCACTGAATTTTGTTCCACTGCCTTCAATTGAACATAAATATATAGCAGAAATTATTTTTAAATATACCTGCTTTCCATCTTTCACTGGAGGTCAGACAAGTTCAGAGATCACTGAAAAACAAGTTGGGCGCATTAGGATGGATGTCTGGCTATATCTAAAGACCACAAGGTGATGTTAAGAAGGGTATATGGGAAGGTGTAAAGATCACTTGCACTGCCGTGTCCATGAATGGTTCCAATCCACAGATTTCCAAGTTCTTTGTAAGTCATGAAATACTTGGCCTCTCTTTGTTAGGGACTTGTAAAGAGAACATTTAATAGCAAACACTTAGTTTAGGATCCTCTTGCCGAGGTAAAAATATCTGAAAGTTGGTGAGCTCTGATTATGGAGTGTGATTGTGGACGTTCCAAATTGTTTAAATTTTACCAAAACACTAAGATGGTTGTAGTGTGCATTCAAATGAACACTGCTGGGTTTTTTGGTTTTGTTTGGGGGTTTTTTTTTTGGGGGGAGGGTGTCCTTCAAAGGCTGTAGGATTCCTGACAGTGTTTAACCTCATTTGACTAGTTGTTGCTTTTGACTTAGTACTTGCAGCTGCACAACATATCTGTTGGAAACCATGCTTATGAGAAGAAAGGAGCAGAACACACTGCTATGGCTATATGTCAACAATTCTACAAACGAGGAAGCATCTGCCCTGGAAATGATACCTTTGACATTGACCCAGAAATTGAAACTGGTGAAATTGCTGCTTAATATCTTATTTAAACTCTTAGATTTTAAATTAGTTATCTGTGTTTGTTTATTTGTTCTCTGGCTGTTGAATACTGAAATGGATTTCTAAAGCATATCAAATTTCCCATGGGTGAATCTCTAGGATTTTGAAAAAGGGGTTGCAGATGACATGGTACATCATCACCAATGCAACACATTTTCCTCCAGTTGAGAAATTAGAAGCTTTACTAACATGCTATGGGGCTAGTGCTATATTATTCACCTTAAGATAAAATCAAAAACAAATATAACTATTAGAATGAACACTATTTTGCTAAAATTCATATAAAGTTTAAAAAAAACAAACAAGCAAACAATAGAATCATAGAAAATTAGGGTATTGGACGGGACCTCAGGAGGTCATCTAGTGCAATCCCATGCTCAGGGCAGGACTATCCCCAACTAGATCATCCCAGCCAAGGCTTTGCCTGGCTAGGTCTTTAAAAACCTCCAAAGACAGAAATTCCACCACCTCTCTGGGTAACCTGTTCCAGTGTTTTACTACCCTCCTAGTGACAAAGATTTTCCTAATATCTAACCTAAACTTCCCTTCTTGCAATTTGAGACCACTGCTCCTTGTTTATTTGCCACCACTGAGAATAGTCTAGCTCCCTTCTCTTTGGAACCACCCTTCAGGTAGTTGAAAGCTGCTATTAAATACCCCTTCAGTCTTTTCTTCCCCGCCTTAATATGCCCCGTTCCCTTAGCCTCTCCTCATAAGTCATATGCCCCAGCCCCCTAATCATTTTTGTTGCTCTCCACTGGACTCTCTTCAATTCGTCTACACCTTTTCTATAGTGGGGGGCCCAAAACTGAACACAGTACACCAGATATGGCCACACCAGTCCTGAATAGAGGGGAATAATCACTTCCCTTGATCTGCTGGCAACAGTCCTACTAAAGGAGCCCGCTATGCCATTAGCCTGCTTGGCTACAAGAGCACACTATTGACTCATTTGGTTTACTATCTACTGTAACCCCCAGGTCCTTTTTTTGCAGAGCTGCTGCCCAGCCAGTCAGTCCCCAGCCTGAACCAGTGCATGGGATTGTTCCATCCTAAGTGCAGGACTTTGCACTTGTCCTTATTGAACCTCATGAGATTCCTTTTGGTCCAATCCCACAATTTGTCTAGGTCTCTCTGAATCCTAGCCCTACCTTCCAGTGTATCTGTTACTCTACCCACCTTGGTGTCATGTGCAAACTTGCTGAGGGTGCACTGCATTCCACCTTCCAGGTCATTGATTAAAATATAGTGGCAGTGTGTCCTCAGTCCTATAATCATTATAATGAAATGTACCTAGTTTCATAGTTGGTAGGGTCAGAAGGGACCTGAGCAGATCATCAAGTCTGACCCCCTGCCATGGCAGGAAAAAGTACTGGGGTCAAATGACCCCAGCAAGGTGTTTGTCTAACCTCCTCTTAAAGGCCCCCAGGGTAGGAGCCAGCACCACTTCGCTTGGAAGTTGGTTCCAGGTCCTAGCCGCCCTGACAGTGAAGTAGCGCCTCCTGATGTCTAGTCTGAATCTACCCTCTGCCAG